GTGAAGCCAGCTGCGAGGTGCGTAGTATGTTCGAGCGAAAGATTCATTCGATTTTGCTCATCCTATCAATCGAAGTATCGTGAAGCCAGCTGCGACATTGGAGACTTATCTGTTCTCTCTCTCTCTCTCTCTCTCTCTCTCTCTAACACACACACACACACACACACACACCTGCGCAAGGATGACACACACCTGCGACGAGGAGGAGAGATGGAGGACGATACAGAGAAGATTAGCACGACCTCTTCGCAAGGATGATACACACAAATCGAGAAAAGGTAAAAATAAAAATAAAAAAATCGACAGATTCGACACCTGTGGGAGAGGAGGAGGAGGAGGAGAAGGAGAAGGAGGAGGAGGAGGAGGAGGAGGACGACAAGAACGGAGGACGAGGAGGAGATATGGAGGACGAGGAAGGGGAGGAGTAGGACGAGCGGGAGGAGAGGAGGAGGAGGAGGAGGAGGAGGAGGAGGAGGCAGTGAGGATGATGAAGGGGAGGTCGAAGCCGGTGATACTCACCGGGCGATGGCGGCAGCTTCTCCCTCGCAGGGCAACACGGCAGCACAACAGCACGGCAACACTTCAGCACGGGGCGGCACTTCGCAGCACTTCGCAATGGCACTCCGTGTAGGCCACACACCCACCCAAGAGGCCAGGCAAGCCCACACAGAGTACAACTGGAAACAGGTTTCGAAAATTTGAAACCTCGCGCTCCGACCTTGAGCGCGGCCCCAAAAAAATTTTTTTTGGCCTTGGCAACAATTTTGGCGGGGGGCCTCCGATGTGTCGTTTCGACCCCTGCCATTTTTTTTTTTTCGGGGGTGGTGGGGGGTCGGGCCGTTCCCCGCACACCTCGTGCGCCGCTCGAGAACGGTCGGGCCCGTGCGCCGGACGTAGGGAAACTCACGCACGAGGTGCGCTTGCAAGTATGGGTACAACAAAGCAGATAGACGCACAACAAAAAGTAGGTAGCCCAAATGTTCAGAAATGACAGGAACAAAAGAACGATTAGGAAAAAAATGCAAAACATATGACACAAGCAACGATAGAAGCCTACAAAATCTCGTAGTTTGTATTTGACTGTATTTGACCACAATTAATAACGACGGTGCTCATCCGCCAAAATGGCGAGAAACAACAAAACGACGACGAGAGTAGGATCCGAACTATCCCCGTCAATCCAGGGCAAGAGCAACTAAGGTAAGAGGCAATAAGAGGTACTGTTATTATTTCGTTGAGTCACTAAATCTCCGGTGTCAGACGGACGTTGGAAAATAATTTAAAATCACGTCAATACAAGATTAAGAAAGTGTGGCCTCAATCCCATAGCGCGACAACGATCAGAGCAACATAGTCGTAAGAAGAGGGTCTTCTTTGAACTTGATACATCTGGTGAACAACTTTTACCAAGGAAGAGAGCATAGACAGGCCGCAGGTCTCAACTGACAAGGACGAGTCGCCAAAGCAACCTCCACCTAGATTGTTCTGACGTGATGAGGCACCTTTTGGTATTCACAAACTCATGCCTATCTTGGTGGTATATAGTGTATTGCGTGCACGCCGCCCTCACACCCAACGCATGTTAGGAAATGGCGCTCGATAGACTCCAAAGATGCAATGGACAGCTACGTATTAGGCTTGCTGTAGGCGGTAAAGTAGTTAGGACACACTTCTAAGGAAGCCAAAAAAAAGAGGCAAAAAGAAAGCAAAACAAAAGCAAAGCAAACCCAACAAAAAAGGTAATAGCACGTTGCATGGCAATCAAGCGCTGAAGTCGGACACCGCCGGGCAGGGCGCACAACCTTAGGTCACCACGCTTAGGGCATCCTGCCATGCGGCGACCATAGCTGTGCATAGCTGCTATGGAGTTTGTGTGGCGCTAACGACTATTGCGTTGGGAATTGGGGTGGGTTGTTATCAAACACTTCATGTAAACTAACATTGGCATGCCTGGGTCGGCAGGTTCGGTCTTCAGATTTGAAGCACTATGATTGATGTTTTTTCTCCACTTCCAGGCGTGTCCATCTTACGTGCTATATGCAACCAATATTGTGCGCGATCGCGTGTTTGGTTTACAAATTTGGAAACATGAGTGCACAAGTGTTTGTTTGCATCAATTAAGCTTATTTGCCGAATCGACCCCGTCAACAAGGAACGATGCAGTCAAGGTTCTTTGTCAAGATGGTTGTGCTCTTTCTTGTTGGTGCAGATTGACCTTCCGTATGCCAAGCTACTTGGCCAGGGGAATTTCAATTTTCCGTATGTCTTGTCACTTTGCGAGAGGGAGCTACGCTTTGACTTGCCAGTGGAGAGTGGTGTCTGCACGTTGAACTGTATTGTCTTTTGAGGAGACTATTGCCTCTCACACATTGACTTGCCGGTGGAGAGTGGTCTCTACACGTTGACCCGTCTTGTCTTTTGAGGAGACTATTGCCTCTCACCTTCGACCGCGACTCGTTTAATGGATATGGACCAAATTAGTGGTCGTACTCGTTCAAGTGGTGATTTGTTTTGTACTATGTTTAGGGTTTGCTAAGATTTGCGTCTATGGTTTCTCATGTTTAGGGTTTGCTAAGACTTGCTTCTATGGCGAGATTCTTTGTTGTTCCTTCACTGGTTTCAACTTCATTGCTCGTAGGGCTTGTTTACAGTTCGTTCTATTGGCGAGATTATTTCCTCTTTTCATCACTTATGCTTTTTGATTGACCACGACTTGTTTATTGGGTGATGGTGACCCTAATTAGGAATTCAGGTTGGATAGTGCCATTTGGGAATCGTTGGTCTTAGTTCTGGTTGTTTCTAAGGGTTCTTTTAGTTTTTGTTTCTTTGGTTGGTGGTTTTGATGAGTGCCTGGGATATGGTGAGGTAGGAATTTGCTTGTTCGTTTTGGTAATTTCTTAGGAATTAATGGGCACTAATGAAGTGATTGTTTTCTTAAAAAAAAAAAAAAAAACCGAAGAGAAGAGCAAAGAAAGCAAAAAAACAGCCAAAAAGAAGCAAAAAAAAAGCAAGGAAAGCAAAACAAAGCAAAAAAATCAAGAAAAAAGCAAAAGAAGAAAACAAAAAAAAGCAAAAAAAGAAGAGGAAACAAGGTGGGTTGTTCTTGGAAAGTTACTTCGCCTTCAAATTTGAGCACTAATGCTTTCATACGTGGATGCCGCAATTTTGAGCGTTGAAGTGGCTCCGGTGGAGAGCTCTCAATTTGATCTATACCAGTTTGAGCAATTCACCTAGGGTAGACATCAAATGAAGCTATGGTAGTAGTCTCCTCAGGCGAGTCCTCTGAAGTTTCCTGAGCAATCCAGCTATGGTAGACATTCCACTTCAAGCTACCGTCTTCGCCCGAATAGAAGTCGTGAGTCGTTATGCCTGTATCTAGACTGAGAGCTGCCACAAATATGACAATAATGACGGGGCATTGTATTCGAATGAAGATTATAGGTAGAACACCAAATTGGCAAAGCTCAATTTTTTAGGATAGCTGAAGAGGCTCCGGGTGGGTGGTCTGCCTTTCATAGCAGCAGGGCGCCGGCTATGTTTGTGAATAAGGGATACGAGGAACCGTTTCCCAGCAGGTGGTGGTCTCACCACCCAATCAATAGAACATAGTGGAGTCATCATCAAGGCAAGACCTCAATCGAGAAGATGAGGTGTTATGGAAAGCTGAATGTGTGTGTGTGTGTGTGTGTGTGTGTGTGTGTGTGTGTGTGTGTGTGTTATGTTTCCTATCACAAAAAAAAGGCATGACTGTGCTAGACTGTTTCGTCGGACATTCATAGAGTCATCATGAGGTTGAGGAAATATCCAATCAATTTGTCAAAGCAATCATAGACGCATACGAATGTGCACACAGATGTATAACCAAATTTCATAGGAGTATCGAGTTTCCGACAAAAGAAAGAGGACATAAATCGTTGTTATTGTCCCCATGTCTCACCAACGTCACCCCCAGTCTGACCACGGCCCAAGACCCACCCGTGCGTCCTCATTCCGTACAACTTCTTCACGCATGCCGAAGAAGGAGACTGAACTCGGCGGTGATCCACTGTTTATACCAGCCGAAATTCTCGACAAAACCATGAACTACGCTAATGATGGTCTATCCCCTACTATCGCTGCCCCATCTCAAACAGGCCCTATCCTACTCTGACTTCAAATCATCTGACACTTCAAACCCACCCAGTTCCCATCCGGTACCCTATCCTATTCTAAAACAGGCCCTATCCTATTCTTACATCAAATCGTTTGACGTTTTTCACGTCGGTTGGCCGGTCCAGTTCCGACCCTGTACCAGTTCCCCTCTGGCGACTTCTAGGTCCGTCCAAGGGCCACCAAACAGTTCCTCCTGGCGACTTCCAGGTCTGTCTGGCCCACAAAAAAATTGGGTACCTTCGGCCATGTTTGGGCTTGAACCGTGGTCCCAATTACCTCTTTATCCTACGACATTCGTCGACCTTGGAGTAATCTACTACTACAACATTCATCATCCCCGTCCGTCAATGCAGATTTCTGCAATCAACTTCCAAATGTTGCTCCTATTCCTGGTGACATTCCGTACTACCTGATTGAAAAAATGCTTAAGGATTGTTTCAACGAAGCAATTCCATCTGTACCAACAAATCCGAATTCAACATGCCCAAATTTGAAAAAGAACTACGATTAATGCGATGAAACACGCTCATGATGACTACCATTTTGCCGTTCCTATAGGACTATGATCCAAAATCTTGAAAAGCACTGAAAGTCAGAGCCTTACGCTCCCGCAGGTCCTTTTCATTCTTCATACTTTGATGGCAACTCAGGAAAGGAAAGGTCACTCCAGTGGCCGTTTTGCAGCCCAAGAAATGCCAACTTTTCTCCCCCTCATATGTCCTTTCTAATGTTAGAGCCTCGTCATAACATTTCTCAGACTTCTGTATCACCTCCTCCGCTTTCTTCTTCCCATTCTTCTTCTTTGCATTGAAAGCAACAAAGCAAGATAGGTCATCAATAAAACGCAATACAGCTACGAATCTCTTCTGACTTCCCAATCTCAGTAGGAAATCTCAATCCACCTTTGCGCATATCAGGCAGGCCAAAGGCGGGCTCGATGATTTTCCCATTGGGATCCCAATGGTTTGCCAAGGATTACCTTACTTGCAATTGTGAAACACTGATCCAGATCATTCAACACATGCCCCATTATCAGATCAGAACGCATATGCACATAACCCTCAACTTTCCTAGCCTTGCTCATATTGGCTCCCTTTGGTTTTTACAAAAACTCCATCAAATCCTTTTTCGAGAAACCACCAGATACACCACTCAACTGCGCGTACGATATTCTCATGCGGCAATTTGCTGAACATGTCTTTGATATTGTATGACGCAGTGAAAACCTGCACATTACTGCACACCCTACCCAATTTTCTGTTGATGCGAATCAAGCTTTACTTTCAAATCTGAGAGTGCCCTCAGATTGAAGTGTCGGCCAATAGATAATCCCAACAACAAACCGTTCAGTCCTTGCACAATCTTTTTGCATGCATTTACGTTTGGCTCGCAGTTTGTTGGACGATAGGACAGTATTTGGACAACAAACCGTTCAGTCCTTGCGCAATCTTTTTGCATGCACTTACATTTGGC